AGACTGAAATGAGTTTTGCACAGGAGCTAGAGCTAATTTGAGATTGACAGTTACTTTGTTTCTATTATATTTTAACCGATTGTATAAATTTTCATCTGTTGGTGCTTTTTTATATCTTCTCTAGACATAAAAAATATCATATTACATCTTTCTTCGATATCAAAAAATGTTACTTTGCCCTGTACGCGTATTGCCAACTCTCTGTCTTGTTAATTTAGTTCGAGATATTTCTACAAGTTATCAAGTTATATTATACTATGATCGAATAAATTCAATTATTAATTCGATTCTTTCCATTGCTAATTCGAAGAGACACAATTGCCTCCTTTAGGAGCAAATTGCATGCCCTTTTTTAACAGTTTGGAAAGCAATTTCTTTCCGTTCCTTTCTAAACAAACCAGAGTCTAAAGTTCAGAAGCAGGGAATAAAACTTGTAGATAACTAAGACCTGTAAATATTTTCTAATCAGGTACTACAATAGTTAATTGTCAATGAGTTAGGTGAACAATAGAATGTTCAAGCTTTGAACGATATTGGCATGTGGTAAGAAGTTTCACTGTAAAGAACAGTTATCGATTAAATAATTGCTTGTATTAACACATATGTATTTTCAATCAATCTGGGGAATCGTTTATTACAGAAGTCTGTTAGCTGCTAGCTTATCCGTATTGTCTAAATCATAGTTTTAAAGTGTTTTTGTATTTATAATATTTGGTTACTTTTATGGAAGGAAATAAGTCAAATATACTGGGTGTAAGAGTCTATTTTTTGAACAAACATTTTTTTCTAATTTCTAATTTTCTTTCTAATTTGAGTCTTATATTTTACGGATAATTACGTTTTCCACAAAAACTAGGATACAAAAAATCATAAAAATAAAACAATTTTTAAATGAACCGTCCGGAATAAAAATAACTGTTTTTTCGAATTCTAAAATCAGATTTCGACGACGTTAATTTAACAAACTTGAAGCAGTTGATCTATAAATTTTCTTTGAGGTGAAATTATTGGTCATGTTCCGAAAACATTTAAGTCCTGAATCTTCAGCATCAGTTTTTCAAATTACCATAATGCATAATATTGAGAAAACTGCGTCAAAACGAAGCAATTTTATTACCACATTGTTTGCATTGCTGTTAAAGCCAAATGCTCAAATGTTGGTGTAGAATTCTCGTTTGCAGTGGGTTTGATTACTTGCTATTGAAGTAACTTTGCGTTAGAATGCACCACGCAAAGTTTATGATTTTCGTATTTGCGCGAATGCTCAACTTTGTGAATGCCCAATCTAGAAATCACAAAACCTTTTCCTTAGTTTTATTAGTAGTCTTCAGTGTTTGCTAGCTTTGTTGGAACATTTGCAATAGGTTTGCCAATTTATATTCAAATCTCGTCAAAACTCTCTTAATCTATAATGAAAATCAACTGCATGAAAGTGAAAAACTGTAAGACTCGAATATGTTGCCAAACACACGCCATTATTTTATCGATATAAATAGACATTTATTGCAAACTGTTATAGCGCATAAATATTACTTCGATAGTAATTCATAAATCTTATATCATAAAATGGAAATTACTTTTACGGACCTACAGACAATATTATGTTTATTTTATTATTGATAATATAAGAAGAACAAGATAATGACTAGAGTTTTGAAATGCCATTTTATCTATATCTATATTAATATTCGATAAATAGTTGGATAAATCAATCCTTTTGATGTGGGAAAGTTAGATTGTGTGTATAGTTGCTGAACAAAGTGAACATTTTTTACTTATTTTCGGTGAAAAAAATCAACTGTTTATGGAATCCATTGTTCAACTTTGAATGAAACATCAACTTGTCGTCCTAGCTATGTCCATGTTACAGGAACAATAATTGTGTTATTGTGATGTTTTTTGAAACTTTTCCTAAATAAGTAGTAAACTTTCAAAATTAAATTGGCCTGATTTCAAGCTTTGGCTTTTCAAACTCGCCAGCATGGGCAGACTAAATTTATTTTTCTCTGTGCACCAACTTTCGGATTAAAATGTGTAAAATTAATAGAATGAAATACATGGTGTTGAAGTTTCAAGAGTGTTTCTTTTTTTTATAAGTTATAGACAGTTTTGTGCTTCACTGATTATGTCTTAAGTTCCATTTAAAGTCTTGTTTGTGACTTTTTTTCTGTTTTTTGCATGTGTGAAAGTTTTTCTCTATGCAAACTGAAAGAAAATTTTGAATAGTCTTTGACTAATTACTAATCAAACCACATATTTCAAATTTATATAAGAGCGATTCTGATATTTTAGTTGCAATAATTAAGGACCAGTGTTTGCTGATAATAATTTTTTTTCTAAACTATTCACTTTATAGTTTATGTATTTAGTTCCTGTACAAACTACTTTTATGCTTAACTGGTAATTTAAGGACGCCGCACATTCTAGAAAGATTGGTTTGGCTGTTTCATCTATCAAAATTTCCAAGTATACTTATGTATTTAGATACTTGACTCTGGAACGGCGCAAAGTGAAGACGATTCGGTTCAACTTGCATATTTACATGAAACACGAATGGAAAATGATCCTACCACGAGAATAACAACTCTGAACGGAAAGGACAGGAAACATTATCAGTTAAAACGTTACCATCATAGTAGTGTTAAAAAACTCCAGAATTTATCAAAAGTTTTTAGAACAAAACGAAATTTTCATGATGATGACAATCTATAGTTGCAATTAATATTTGAGTTGGAATGATAGAATCTTTTGAGCGTGGCTGAGAAGCTGATGTTTGAACTTGCCTCAAGTCTTCTGAAAAATATCGAATACACAGTCGAAGGCAAAGCGTTTACTTGAATACTTTGATTACTTTTGTACTTCGAATATCGCGGTCGATACGAATTTGCTAGGATGGTGGTCACTGCTAAAACGAATTTATTGTGAATTTGATTACTTTGATTATTTAAGTTCGAGATCGTGCCGTTTTTCTACCCACTTTTATTCAGTAACTAACTGAGAAATTTCTAAATATGAATGAAATGGATTTATTAGGTATATTAGAATTATTATTTCATATTACAGTCAATAGTACAATTATTGGCTGTTTTGTTATTGATTCTACTGAAATTATTCGAACTCACATCCATCTCGTTGCTTCAATTTCCTCGTAATAAGTTCTTTGAACGGATGTAAGGCATATTTTGGAGTCGAAACTGAGGCCGCAATTACATAAATTCTCTCATGCAAATGACTTGCATGATCATCTCTAAAATTATATTTTTTTCGTTATAGAACTACTTATAATACGTTGTACGTGTGCACTTCTATGTAATCATGTAGGTTATTGAGAAGGTGAAGCTCAAAACATTTAAAAAATCGTTTATAAACATAAATTAAAATTACTTCTATAAGGAACTCGACACCCTCGAATAATGGTACTATGAATAAGGTTTTTGTTTTTTTTGTAGCACTATTTATCAATCTGTCATAAAAGACGTGAGGAAATTCGGTCTTTTTTAAAGACAACAATTTTGCAGTTATTTATTTCAAACATTATTACTGTTTGGATATATAATGACGCTTACAAAAAACATATAAACATTCAGTATGCACATTACTCTTACTTTCAATTTTTTTCAATATTTTACGGAATTATAACAATCTATGGACTATAAATATCTGCTAGAATAAAACCTTTCCGATCACATTATTTATTTTCTAATTGAATTCTTAAATTTTCCAAACTTTTTTTGTATGAAAGTAGAAAATACGCCTTTTGTTGAAACATGTTTATGCATATTATATACAATCAGGTTGAAGATCTTGAAATTCAATAGAAAACCGATGTCTCATTTTGTATAAATATTCAATAACTTAATATTCTTTTAATTTTTATCTCATATTAATTTTGAAAATTTATCAGAACTAGTCTTGGGTATTTTTGTTTTTTTTATTTGATCATGGTTGTGCTCTCCTCACAACACAAGTCTGATCGATATTTCTTTATTTTACAGACCATGTAGGTTCTTTGCCTGATTTTCTCCTGGAAGTTTCACACCATTCAATTAATTTCTCAAATTGTATGTAAGCCGCTAAATTCAAATTATAATGTTCAGATGTGGCATATTAAATTCATTGACTTACCTTCTGAACTATAAAGGCAATCAATTATAACGTTCGCAGTGAGAATTGGTAACAAATTTAAAATGCAGTTCATTAAACATAAAAAACAAACGACATTTTTATCGTTCTCAGTGGCTTCCTTGTATTTTGCGTTTTTGAAGCTTTATTTTTAATTAAATTCACCTAATTTTACTGTTAATTCAGCTATTCAGAAACAATGTTCTCGAATCAATTCTCGTTAATAAAATAAGTTTCGGTGAATGGTCTTGGCATTGATTTGAGCATTTTCCTCTTGCTTGTTTCCACCCTCATATGATCGGATAATAGTGGCTCTGAAGATGAAGAAGATAAAAGTGCGAGACCCTTGCAAGATAGTTTTTTAATATATTTTTCAAATCATTTGCCTACAAAATCATAATTACTAAATCGATTATAGTTTAATTGCTGGAGTTTGGCCTGCTTTTTGTCGACTTCGACTAACAAATTTCCGCTTTGTAATTTTCATTCTTCTTATACTATTAACTTTAATTGAACTTATACTCTTAAATATATTTTGCGCTAAAAAATCGATATGCAAAAGGAAATACAATAGACGAACATTTTCAAATTACTAATGTAGAAACTTGTAGACAGTTTTTTCGATAAAACGAAAATAGCTTTAATTTTGGCTGGAAACTGAAACTTTGTCAATCAGCAGCTCGGTAACAAAGTGCTTGATGACCAGATTTTTAGGAACTTTTCATTCTATGCAAACCAAGATTTGCTATCTGTTTTTTGAAACACCCTAAATACTTGTAGCGATTAAATCAAGTAAAGCGTCACACAATAGAGAATCCTTTCATTTCTTTAAATAACCCAAGCAACCGTTAAAAATGATAAAATAAAACTGTACTTACCGGAAATTTGTTGGAATGCGTGTAGAGTTGAGCGGAAGGAGAAAATGCTACAGTCGATCCAGGTATGGCAGTTTCAGCAAATGGAGGAACGGGTGGCATGCGATAAGTCGGAGGTGTCTGAACCAGTGCGTTAGATTGCGGTCCAGATTTAGATAGCTCATGCCCGCTTCCGTACACTAGAAATTAACAGTGTTGAGTTAACAACTGACAATTTACATTTCCGGCTTTGCATTTCACCCAAAAAGGTCAGCTAGAAGCCCCATTTATCTCCGTACTAAAGCAATTTTAAACGGTCAACTATTAAATTGAACCAGACCTTTCTCGGGTGATCATGACCATTAAAGTTACTAAGCAGAACCCGATAATGATTGCCAATGATAACTTTAGTTTTTTTATCAGCCCCCATTGCGATTAAAACAGGCTTTAATTGGACAAAATTAATGTAATGCGAATCATCAATTAAACAAAAAGGTGGATTTCATTCAGGATTGCTCTCTAATATTAGTTCAAACTGGTAACCAAGTGCAATTTATTTCATTAAAATCCTCATTTAGTCGGTATTACGTTAATGACCTGGGAAATAATTGCAATTATTGAAGATCGAACCACTGTGATTCATAAAAATATGTTTTTCTTGACAACACAGTCGACTCTTTAGCTGTTTATATAAAGGGTAGTCTCAGCTTCATTATTTGTCCCATTTGTTCAATTGGCCCAAAAATGTCCCAACAGTTTTGCGCTTCTAATAAGTTAACATATAGATAGCCATTCTCGTTTTCACTCACCAACGGACGTTTCCAGTTATTTGTTATACCTGCACTGGAAAATGGGCAAAATAATTCCTTATTTAATAAAAATTTAAATACTTCAAGATAGTTAGATTCAAAAAGAGAGATAGATTCAAATAGTTCATTAAAATAGTTCTACAAATCAAGTTTTTGCAAGCTGCCAGAGTTCACAAGATTCCTGCAATAGCCCCCCACAAAAAGCATTCACTCTCTATAGTTGCTAAAACCTTGATTTAATATACTTAAATGTATTTTATGTAGGCGTACAAATCTCGGGCAGCTAGAAAAGGATTCCCTTAATAGAAATCTGATTCAATATGTATAACTGGAGAAAAGGGAATAAATCATTGGATTAAGATTAATCCACCACACGTTCTTAGAACAATATTTTATGCAGTACATGCTTTTTGGAGAAGAAATTCAAGTTGCATCAATTTTTTATGATGTCGCTTTTGTATTCTCCACGAGCTCTTTTTCAATTTACAACTATGATCTGAGCAAACAAATATGTTGTTTATTGAGTCACTTAAGACAATTGATTCGACTTTAAAATTATTGTTTGTGCACCATTTTGAAAAACATATCGATACATTTAAATGATATTCTTATCTTTCCTGGGTCTCAGTCAAAGTGTGAAGTAAACATTTTTTGAATATCGTTTATTTCATTACGTTTCGGCGAGACAACAGCGCTATCATCAGATTTAAAATTTACACAAACTCATGATTGGTAAAAATCAACGTTCTTTTACGTTTTTGTCTTCTTGAAACCTTAAATTTGTCTTAGTAGTGATGTTAAATAGACAAATTCAAAGTTTCAAGAAGGCAAAGACCTAAAAGAACGTTGATTTTTACCAATCATGAGTTTGTGTAAATTTTAAATCTAATGATGGCGCTGTTGTCTCGCCGAAACGTAATGAAATAAACGATATTCAAAAAAAAATTACTTCACACTTTGACTGAGACCCAGGAAAGATAAGAATATCATAACAAGTACACGCAGTCAGGAAAATAAATCAGGAAAAATTTAAAGAAATTGGGGTTGTATGCATTGTTTGATTCTAAATCAAGGTGCGTACTATATTTTCTGAAATATCTTGAAAAATTGTTTTCTCTTTCTTAGGAAAACCAGTTTGTCTAGACCACTTATTGTTTTATATTCGATCAATGCAATTAAATATAAAAGTAGAGAAAAGTTGGTTTAAAAATAACCCATACACCTTCACGGTTCAACAATCTATTGATGTTTTCCACGAAATTTGACTAAAATTCTCATCTCTCAAGTGTCTGTAAATTTACATATGTCGGAGGTGTTTAAAAATTCAGTCCACCTTCAATAACAATACATCAACATGCACTTAATAATGCGAACAAAGTGCATTGTTCAAGTTAACACAATGTAAGAGCACGATTAGAATTTGATGAAGAAAGTGTTGAAATATCGAATTCACAACCCAGTTATTCAATGGTGGTTGACATTACAAACAGCAATATATTTTTTTCTTTGAATTAGCGTATTATTAATCACAAAAACCGTAAACTAATTAAAATTTATCATCACCAATGAAAACGGTAGTCGACTAATGCACTTGACCGGAGTAAAAAAATGCTTTAACATTTAGACCGGCGGTGTGAAAATTAAACCGTTTCATTGAATTATTTTTAAAATACCGCAATTGCATTGCAGGGTTTCGTAATTATTATCAATAGGTTTAATATTTATTTATTTTGCTTGTTGTTTTTGTTGCCACACTCTTGTTAATGAGTTTTGCAGTAGCAGTGTTTTTTTCGTTTATTAAATGTTAAGTGACTTTTTTTACTTAAATTATCTTATAGTTGTGTAATGCATAATAGTGCTTGCGAATAATTTTATTTAGAATCCCAATTTAGCAAATTATAAGTATTTACTATGAAGCAAAATATTTTTTTAAGTAGGTATAAATAAAAAACAAAATTTGTGAAAATGTTGTTAAATATTTAAAAAATATACACGAGATAGTCAAGAAGTATGAGTTGCACTATTCTAGGTGTTAGATGAAAAGCTCAAAAAGTGGATAAACGGATGTGGAAAAACAAGAAATGCATAATAAGAAAATGTCATATAAACAACTGCGCCTTAGCATCAAAGTGAGGAATAATACATAATAAACAATTACTATAAAAATATAACATATTAAAGAAAACATCACTGCGTCCTGCAAACATTTTTACGTTTCTTCTAACAGACTCGCTCTGTATGTTTAAATATATCAAAAATATAAAAGAACATGAACGGTAAACCAACCTACATATGATTTTCATTAAATTAAATTTACGAGTGAGACTGTTAGATGACAAATATAGCATTTTGCCTGTAAATTTAGTAATGATTTCCGTACGCGGTAGTGGTTCGACATCAGAGCTCTTAAGTAAGTCGTTAAATGTTGCTAGAATGTAAATCGCAACGAGATAAATAATTTTAATTAGAAACAATTTACCATGCCTGTTGGGGCAAATATTTTCAGACACTTTAAACCAATGGTATTGTTTTAAAGTCAAGATAAATGTTCTTGTTTGCTTTGCAGAAAATGGTCTGGCTTTATAAGTTAATTAATGTTTTGCTTATTAGATCACAAGCCTTTGAACGCCCACCAGTTTATCGCAAGTTCCTCGGCATTGTGCTTTAGTGGAAGTCTTCTGAACTAATTTCCAGACTATGGCGCAACAAATTGTCAACCCTTCAGCGATACCCATTTCTTTATTTTTTCAACTAAACGTAATTTTTTATCCACTTCATTAGGCAATGAAAAATGTCGTCGATTTTCCATCTATATTTCGAGAAAACAGTCTTTGTGAGACCGTGCTACCTAACCGAAACTTTGAAATATTGACTAGAAAAGATTTTATTTTACTGTATTCGGAATTGATGGGATTATCTCCTTCTGTGTCGATTGTATAAAAAAAAGGGATATAAAAATGTCCAAATGTATTTGTGTATTTATCAGTATATGAAACAGTGGTTGGATAAAAATGATATAGACATATACATCTTGGAACTGTTTAGGCGCTTGGATAAAGAAAGTGAGTATTTAATTTCAGTAGTTTGGAACTTGTGAAAATTAGTAATAATACTGTTATTCCCCACGATTTAGATAGTGAAGTAAATAAACATTTTTAAATAACATTGAAAATCTGACCATCTTCAAAAAGCATACAAAATTATTTTTTCAAGCAATTTGTTTTCTATGGATGGATGGAAAAAAACTTTTCAACCACAATATTTAGTACGCTTTACTGATTTTTGACTAAAAAATGTACCAAAAGCTGTAACCTGTCTAAAAAAAAATCAGGCAACATTTTAAGAATTAGCTCGCAAAAACGCTTCACGGGAAACCCGTGATTCTCCGAAGACCCGAGTTTCTATTGAAAACTTTAACGGTTTAAATACAAGCACGAAAAAATAAACGTCCATTTTAATGCCGCAAAAAAACAGCGAGCTGAAGCCATTAAAAGTTCATTAGAATCAAAATGAAATGCTAGTGATTCATTCGGTAAACTTAACGACGACAGAAAATGCAAAAAAAAAACAAAAATAGATTAGCTTTTTTCCAGCAATAGGTATCTCAATTAGACTTTTAATCCTCGTTTAAGTGCAATGGAACTAATTTATGAAACGTGATTTTACGTTCAGTATTTCATGCTACGCAATTTTCCGTTATGTCTATAAGTACCTGGGCATGTTTTTTAAAAAGAAATGCTGATTTCGTTATCTAGTGCTTTTGGGACATTCTTTCGATTATCAGTTTAATGCAATATAGTTTTTTATTAGCTACACACATTTAGCAAAAATTATTAATTGCATTTTAATATTCTTGGATCTTACTTCACTGTTATGTTAGGTCAGCTATTTACAATTATTGTAAAACTTATTTTAATCAGATTTTCGTATTAAATGTAATTATATGGTAAGTATTATTTTTTTCATAATAAAAACATATTTAGCAACACGAATAGTGGCGTAAGGAAGGATTATTGCATGGGCAGAAGCTTAACAATGTAAGGTTACCTAACAATCAGCTGCAGAATAAAATTAGGTATGAAGTAATTTCTTAATCTGGGAGGAGTAAATAAATAGAAGCAATTAAATTAGAGCGTAATATAGATGTTGCGCTATGTTAAAATATAGAAATAAATGCAAAAAATATAATTTAACGTCAATAAATAATTGGTTGAAACATTTAGAGAGCAAGGGATTAGAAAAAGCACGAAAGCGAGGAGGTCGACTTTTCAATTACTCATTTATTTTTGATTAATTTGCAAATTTTTAAGGGATTAATTAAATTTATCGCTCTAATAATATGCTTAATTTTTACATGAAGCTCTAAATTGTAATAGGAACTCATTATCAAG